CAAGGACTAAGGGAGTGCCATTTGCATGAAAAAGGAACAGACTAATCTCTTCTACATGGTTGACCAATAGAGAGAGCTGGATGGGCTGAGTTCAATAGGCGATGTCTGGTGCCATTTAAGCCAGAGACCTGCAACGGTTTAGTCAGAGGAATTAACAGGAGGTTGAGTTTCTTGGCTAAAGATTAGTCAATAAAATTTTACTCTGCTCCTGAGTCGATTGAGGCATTATAAAGGTGAATATAAGGATTGAGAATAATTTTGCCAAGTACCTGAGTGGAGGTAGGGAAACACTGTACCCCTACGGTTACTGATGGGCGTGGGCGCGAAGGACAGGCATTAACATAATGCCCTTTCTGACCACAAGAGAAGTACTCACCAGCCAGCAGCCACGTCCTAATGTCTGATGGTGATAGCTGGGCTCGGCTGAGCTGCATGGACCACTCCTCCCCATGGTTCGCTTCCTCCTGGGCTCTGTTCTCCTGAGGAGGCTCCAAAGGCCAGCGTGAATCCACCACTAGCTCGCCAAGAGCCAATGGACTGTTTGCCATACTCATGGCTGCAGTCATCCATTCTAATGAACATGGAAATTAAAGCATCTAAAGACTTGGGTAATTCCTTTGTAGTTAACTCACGTTTCTGGGCTGGTCCAGACTGGCTTCAGCTGGGAGAGATGAAAGGGGTTATGGATCTTCATATTGTGAGGTAAGTTTAAATGGAAGGTCACAGATTCAGAGATTAGATTCAGTTCATTAAGGTACATTTTTAGTGGATAACCATACTTTCTGACCTGATTGATATGGTGAGGCAGAGACCCTGTGAAGGTCAGCCAGATGTTTGTGTTGTTCCTCTGACCTGAGGAGGGCTTGGGCCTGGGATTTTGGGAAGAAACCGGAGTACTGGAGAGAACCCACACATGCATTGGATAAACTCTACACAAAGGCCCCAGCCAGATGGCTTCTTGCTGTGAGGCAGGAGTGCTGACCACTGTGCCAGCACGCTGCCCCAATATGTATATATGATGTACATAAGTATTTACAGCCTTTGCTCAATATTTTCGTTTTGTTTTGTTAAATTTGGCAAATTTAATTAAATTCTTTATATGTTATTTTTACAGCGGCAAATCACAACAAGATTTGCTTCAAGGTGCTTTATATTGTAAGGTAAAGATGCTAGAATGATACAAAATGTCAACAATTACAGCCTCGGCTCTTTTGAGTATGATGCTGCAAACTTGGCATCCCTATTTAAGGAGAGTTTCTCCCATTCCTCTTTGCAAAACCTCTGAGGCTCCATCAGGTTGGATAGGGAGCGTCAGTGCACAGACATTTTCAGATCTCTGTAAAGATGTTTGTAGAGATTAGGTTCATGTTTAGGACAATCAAGGACTTTCACAGAATTTTCTGAAGACACTCCTTTGTTGTGTTGACGTTATCCTACTGGAAGATGAACCTTCACCCCAGTCCACAGCACTCTGGAGCAGGTTATCATCAAGGATGCCTCTGTACCTTGCTGTATGCATCTTTCCCATGACCCTAACTAGTTTCCTAGTTCCTGCTGCTGAAAAACATGATTTAGTTAACGGATGGTGACAGGTGCCTAGTTTCTTCCAGACAGGAAGCTTCACCAGATCATTTTGTTTCTCATGGTCTGAGAGTTCTTCGGGTGTCTTTTGGCAACTCCAGATGTCCTGTCATATGCCTTTTACTGGTGGAATGCTACATGCATTGTCAACAATGTGAACTAATGTAGAAAGGTTTCTGCATTTCCAAATAATTTTGGGCTTTGTCATTATGTATTTAAATGTATTGAATCCATTTTAAAATGAGGTAAAATAAGCTTTGTTACTAGCAGCCTGTTGCAAAAACAACATATTTCTTTTACATTTCTTTAGTTGAAACTCATGAAAGATGCCAAAGATAACAGCTCGGCAGAAATAAATTTATATAGGTTTTGCACTAATAAAGTAATTACCAAAGAGCTGCTGACCAAAAAATGTGACATATTTCAGCATGCTGTGCAATGTGTTCTTACAAAACTTTGGGGAAACTGGACAAGTGGAGGAAAAGTGGCAGTCTTAAAAAACTGTTTACAGGAGATGAACAGTTCCTGAAAAACATTTTTTTTACTAATAGGAAAGAAATCCACCAAAGACCGGACACATTTAAGGCTCTTGTACAGTGAATACAGAAATTTACTGAGAGTTTTTGATCCACCAATACCATCTGGAAAGCACGACAATGATCACAAACGCACTCTCTATGCAGTAAAGGCATAACTGGATAGAAAAACACACAATTAAGCACTATTCATGGACTATTCTCTCCAGAGCCCGGACCTCAATATTATTGAAGCAATGTGAGCAGTTTCATTTTAGGAGAGAACAAAACAAAAGACAGCCAACATCCAAAGATGAGCTTTCATTGTAAAAAAGTCTGGAGAACTATTCCTGAAGACTACCTGAATGATGAGAAGAAAGCTTGCCTTAGAGAATTCAGGCAAATTATTGACATTGAGATTAGTTTTCCCAAAAACTCGGTTTTTCCCTTATATACTGTATTTCCATGTATGTTTCAATAAAACACTACACCTATTACTCATTTTCCGTGCAAAATATAAATACATAAAGAGTTGCTTAAAGCTTTTGTACAGTACTGTGTTTATACTGGCTCATAAGTAACCTTTGTCCGTAAGTCTGAAAGAAAACGTACGTTCTGAGATGTTAAGTTCGAAAAAACACCGGAAGTTATGTGTAATAACATTGTTATGTTTTGAAAACTGCTTCAACATTCTTGTTAAAACTTTTAACATCATAAGTAAAGGTTAAAGTTTAACTAGGTTGTTGGCGCTAACGCACACGGGGTTATGGGTTAATTTCGTCTTTCGTGATAAAGCTGATGTTTTCAAAACAAAAGCACACAAGTCAACTTTGCGTTTGCCTGGACACAATAGCAATCTGTGCTCTCCACTCATCAATAGTGGACTCTAGGACATTGTATGGTTAAAAGAAGACTTTAGTCTGGAAGAGATTTGCGCGGTTAGTTCAAGTCTGCCGTTTAATTCGCTTTGAATTGGCTTTTATTTTGTAAGCCGCAACCGGAAGGGCTATTTATTTTTCGCCTACCTTTGTCTAACTCGACTGGTACTGACGGGGAGGGAAAGAAGGAGGGGGGAGTGTTCCTGGTCTGTCGACTGGTTTGACTTGTCACAGGCGCTCAAGGGAAAACGATGAATTTCAGTCACAGAAAATAGTTCGTAGTTAGCTACAAACAAACGTAAAGATAACCTGGCAAACCGAGGTGCCGGGACAGAACAGCTGCGTAGGATGGGCGAGCCGGCACAGACTCCGTTTAAAACCACAGGATCCGAGTGGCTGCTGCCTGTCAGTGAATACTTGGGCTTTCCTCTTGATCAGGTAGGACAAGCGTGAGTCACAAGTCAGTGGGGCTATTTCGGAAGAATTAAAATCTTTTGATTTATTACTGGGTTCTTTCTTAAAAAAAAAAAAAATCATTTCATGTCATAAATGATGTTCCGTCAATTAACCTAGTGTCACTTGTGGGACACACGTGCCGTGACTCCTTAAAAGTCGTCCACGTCCACATTAATGTCCTTTTATTGGAGGCTTTGTCCAAAAACTAAATTCTGTCGTGTTAAAGAAAATTATTACTAATAAAAATAACGATAAAGTCCCTGTAACGTGTCATACGCTGCTGTTTTACGTCCCTATAAAAGTTTTACACTATCATAGTACACTATGATAATATACTTTAAAGCCCTTAATTGCCTATAAAAGTATAAAACGTGAAATGTTTGTTGATTATCTCTCTTAGCTGTTCACCCCAATCCTTATTTTTTATCTCTTCCCACACAGGTGAATTTTCTGGCATGCCAGCTGTTTGCCTTAACTGCTGCCTTCTGCTTTCGTCTCTACCTCAGCCCGGCCCATGTCAGTCCCCTGGCCAGGCACTTTGTTGCCGCTCTCCTCGGTATTGGTTTTCTCGTCTTCTGCTTTGGATGGTAATATATGGCACTGTCTCACACACCACTCCATTCATTTTCATTTTTTTCTCCATTACACGAGTCAAAGATATTTGATGTGTCCATGTTTCAAAAAGTGTTTTCTGTCAATGAACAAAAACTTTATATTACAGAATAGTCTAGGCAATGAGCTACCGGAACTTTTTCTGTAATTTCACACACTTATGTTGAACAACTAAGATGTACTGAAACTGCACTTCTTTTTCTTCTACTAAGAAGTCTCAGGGGTTAAATATTCAAATGTCTTTACAATGACAGAAAGGGGAGTTTCACTAGCCTCACTTAATATCAAAGTGGGCTATATGTGGGCCCACCTGTATAAGATTTAAATAAAAGCAGAATGCAGTGATTAATGAATCATTTACATCACACGTTTAATTGGAAAAATACTACAAAGCAGTGTGTTGAATGCTGAAAGAAAAAATGGTGTTGTCCTTGGAAAAATATGTGCTTAAAACATGGTAGCAGGTCAACATAAGAAGAAAAAGACCAGCCCACTGGATCAAAAGTTCTTTAAGAATATGGTCTCAGGCCCTCAGGCAGTAAGCTGCAGCACTAAAAACAGACCTTCTGTAGGAAAAATTATTGCATGCGCTCAGGAACACTTCTGAAATAATCCATGTGAACCAGATCAAGAATACACTTCTGCCTCCTGCCACTACAGCATCATCTGTGGTGTCTAGGTCCTTTAATGCACAAGGCATTGGTATCATCCACCTTTTGTGAAGGCCACATTAATAATAATGTAAGTTTTAGAGCAAAATAATATAGCCACTCTGACAACATGCATATTGTCTATTTCAGCAAGACAATGCTAAACTACAACATGGAAATAGCCATGGTACTAACTGGCCTGGGTGCACAGTTAGAACATGTTTTTAATGCCTCGGGCTTATAATTGTAGTAGAACACTGAGGGTATGCGGTCATGAGACAAATTGGAAACACATGTATTTGTATGGGTGTGTATTGTAGTGCTTTAGCAGCAAGTATCTGTGGGAAATGTGTTTAAGTTGTATTGGCACATGCTGCCTGTGTCATTGAAAAGACCTACAGAATGTTTTGTGTCACTTCTGCAGGTATTCATCTCACATCCTGGCTGTGGTTGTTGCAAACTACCTGATCATCATCAAAGCTGACCTCAACAGTGTGCACAGGTAAATTCAAACCTCAAAGGCCAATCAACATAAAAGTCTAGGGAATGGCTATATAATGGATTCTGAAAGACAGAAACAAAAGTCTGAAACACCAGTGGATTCTTACATGGATTGTGCAACTGTTGCTCTTTTGCACGTAATTCCTGTAACGATGAATTAAGCCTAGTCGGTCTGGTTGTAGTCGTTCTCATCGCACACACACCTTTCCGGTTGCATTGACTGACATGCCTGCTTCATCAAGCTAGTACGTGATTGGCAGGACTGCATTTACTATGATAGGGCTGCAGAACTAGCTGTTGCTGTTTTCAGGTCAAACTTGCCAGACGAGATCAACCCAGCCCACAAGCCATTCACTTCATAGGTGGGCTAAGTTGCTCAGTTTAAGCCCTTGAAGTTTACCACTCATTCACTCCCTGCCGCGCATTCCAAGAAAGACTTCATTCTACTTCACCTCGCCCCCTTTGTCTTTCTGTTCCAATGTGGCCTGAACGAAAGTACTTTTTAAAAGGCATGAAACCTTTGGAGAACACGTCAGGCGACAGGCAGCCAGGTATGCCAGCCTGACCAGTCTATTCATGAAGATAACTAGCAGGTGTTTATGCGGATGTTGAAACTTTGTTTACAGGGTTTCAGTGGAACTCTTAAGAGCACATGCACATTTTTCATTACGTAATGGGTGGATATGGGTGTTGACTTCAGACAGCATGGCTCAGGTGTGTCTGGCAGTTGTTGCTTTTTTTGTTTTTTTTATGACTAGAGCAAAATTGTACGGTTATCTTGGTGAGGTATTCAAGGATTACCTGTAGGTAGAGCAAAGTAGAACTGGTATTGTTCTATGGCTTTAGAGGCAAAACACTGTGTAAACTCAACATGGGCTTCTGGACACACACCTCTGTGTCACTGAGACGGGGAAACAAAGTGATTGAACATTTTAGGTTAAAGCCAGGACAATCTAGGGAACGATCAGAACAACAGGTGATCATTACTTTAAGATATGCCGATGTTTGTAACTGTTTAACATTTTTTTGACAATGTGAAATGTAAAGCAGAATATCAGGTTTTCAGTCCTGCAGAAATAACACAAGTTCTTACCTGTGCCTGTTCATTCTTTTGTTTTTCATTTGAGAGTGATGAAATAGTTGCGTCTTGTCAAAGTTAAACCATGCTGGAAGTTTTAGAGGTAGTGTAAATGGCACAAATATTAAAAAGAAAAACGCATAATGCTCACTTTTTAAAAAAAAATTTGTGAAGTAACCCAGAGAGGCGACAATCACTGCCAGTAATTTCTAATGACTCATAACTTAAGGAAACTTCTTAATCTCCTCAAATGCATTTACTGGTGACTCAACTGTTACCACACCAGCTTGTCCTTTTTCTTTTTTTCTTAGTATTGTATTAAACGATTGATTGAACTGCCCTTTACTTTATTTACTTTGTGTCATTCTTTTCCACTCAGGTATTCCATGGTGATATCTATGGGCTATCTGACTGCATGCCAAGCGGGCCGAGCCTTCATCTTTAACTATGGAATACTTTCCACTGACTTCTCTGGGTGAGGAAAATCTGAAGCATTTCTTTTTCTCTCCTCTTTGCCACACCTTCTTTGTGACAACACATTATGGAGACATTTGAGGTTTAGATACGTTATCAGTTTCCACCCTTGGTGGTACCAGCTTACACACCGACTCCCCCAGCCTTGTGTACATATAAAACAACTGAAGAAAAAAAAAATAGCAGCAGCATTGTTCACAGTTGACGCTGCCCAGCTTAGGCTGCTTTCTGCCTCCCATTTTATTGGAAATGTCTGTTTTTCTATGTGTGGTTATACTTTATAAAGCGACAGCTGACTTTGCTGGCCTCTGTATTCAGCAGCAGCTACTTTGCCTTGTTCCAGTGCGGATTAATTTGTTGGCAGCCTCATTTAGACTCCACGTGACTTTAGAGATGAGCAGCCAGGCCTGTGAGTCAGCCTCTGGTGTGATCCCATATTGAATTAGGGATCCAGATTTTATTTTATTTTTTGATACACTTTCATGTTTCAGTATCAATTCAGTACAAAAAAAACCCCAAAAACAAATTACATTCACTACTTTCTGAGCAAAAGTTGTGTGAGTCAGACTGAACAGCAGTCATTCATGCTGATAGATTTCTGGTTTCCCTCTATATTTCTTGCTCTCTTTAGTAGGGTGTTATGTCATTATCTCTAAAGTCTGTTTGCATTTGTTCAAGAGCATTTCCATGAACTGAAATTGACACTTGACATGAAAATCATAGGTACTATGCCCGCTCTATAATGTACAAAATGGAAAATGGAGCCTGTATGCTATAGTAATGGAGTTTTACACATACTGGCTGAAAACATTACTTCAGAGCCCCCTGCCAGCTCTCACTGAGCTGGCACTGCCAGCCGCATGGCCAGCCTCTCTCTGCCTCAGTTTTCCATGCTGTGCACACAATGCAGCCCTCACACCCACACAAACTAGTGTGTGTGTGCAAGAGAGACGTAGTTTATATGTGGACACACATTCACATGAGTTTCCTAAATGTGTGCTTGATAAGCTGAAAATCTAGCTGTGCTGGTTTAAAAGGGGCCCGATGATCCAATGAAGCTCTGGGGATAGGAAAGTATTGCATTGGATTAATAAGTGACCTGATTTGCCACAACTAGAGAAGAATGAAGTGATTCACAATGGTAAATAAATCCAAGAGTCTCTCACAGAGGCTTGGTGAGCTTGGGAAGTGCTGTGCTTAAATTGGTAATGACTTAAGTTTTTACTTTCACTTAAAAAACAAAAACATATATTAGAATTGCTATGCTGTCATACTTGCAACATTTATACAATTTAAAATTATTATTAAAGTGAAATCTTTTCAAATTTGCCCACCTACAATCAGGCACAGGTTTGTGAGCATCAATTTCTAAACTTCTTAAGATAAAAACAATAATTTACCATCTTTCTCTGCCCAGACCTTTGATGATAGTAACACAGAAGCTCACCACGTTGGCTTTCCAGCTCCATGACGGTAAGTCAGACAAGTGGATGCACACATACATATGGAAGCTCAGCACATTGGCAAGCCTTTCACAGCATGCTGTGTGAGTAACTTAACAGGGATGACAGATTTTTACACAGATTTTCACACCTGTTGTAAAACATGTAGCCTAGGCTTTTATTAAAACACCTCCTTCTGATTCTCTTCTAATGTAATGTCGAAGTCATAATTGTGAGCCACAAAATGTGCAGTCATTGATGTTGTTAGTAACATTTGCGCTTTTTCCATTGTCAGTTGTTAGTGTTTCAGTGAAAAAGTCTCTTAGAGTCAGAATTAAACATCTGTTAAAGAAGGACAAGAGAAGGGGAGGAGGAGGGGAATTAAAGATATCAACAACTCCATATTTCTTTCAGGTATGTGTAAGAAGACTGAACAGTTGACACAGGAGCAGAAGCTCATGGCTATAAAGTAAGTTTACACAGCAAAGCAAGTTAGTAACTTACAGTGGTAACTGTGTGTGTGTGTGTGTGTGTGTGTGGTTTTTTTAAACAGAGTCTGATTTTAACAGACTAGAGTTCTTTGGGATTTTCCTATGTCTCTGATTTTAGCCTTCAAGTCTGCATAGATAAACTTACATATACCAGCCACTTTATTAGGTACACTTGCTAGTATTGGCTTGGCCCCCCTTTTGCATTTCGAACTCTTTTATTTTTCATGGCACTGATTCACCAAGGTGCTGGAAACATTCTTCAAATTTTAGTCTATATCAGGGGTGGGCAACTCCAGGCCTCGAGTGCCGGTGTCCTGCAGGTTTTAGATATCACCCTGGGTCAACATACCTGAATCAAATGATTAGTTCGTTACCAGGCCTCTGGAAAACTTCAAGACATGCTAAAGAGGTAATTTGCCCATATAAATCAGCTGTGATTGGATCAGGGACACACCTGAAACGTACAGGACGCTGGCACTCGAGGCCTGGAGTTACCTACCCCTGGTCTTTGTCAACATGACTGCATCACAGAGCTGCTGCAGATTTGTCAGCTACACCTTCATTATGCAGAATGATTTCACATTCCTGTACCATCACAACTCAAAGGTGCTCTATTCAACTGTGACTGTGGAGGTCTTTTGAATCCACTACAGTTTGCGATGATATGAGCTGTGAGATATGATGATGGAAGCAATCATTAGACAATGAGTACATTGTGGTCATAAAGAGATGGACATTGTCAGCAACAATACTCAAGTAGGCTGTGCCATTGGACAATGCACATATGGTGCTAATTGGCCCAAAGTGTGGCACAAAAATAGCCCCCAGACCACTACACCACCACCACCAGTCTAAATTGTTCATACAAACCAGGATGGATCCATACTTTCATGGTGTTTACACAAAATTCTGACCCCGACCCAAATGTTGCACCAGAAATTAAGACTTATCAGACCAGGTAACCTTTTCTAGTCTTGTGCTGTCCAGTTTTGATGAGCTCATGTGAGTTGTAGCCTCAGTGTGGTACCTGGTGCTGCAGCCCATCTGCTTCAAGGGTTGATAAATGTTCTATTCACAGATGCTCGTCTGTAGCTCTTAGTTGTAACAAGTGGTTATTTGAGCTACTATTGCCTTCTTATCAGATTGAACCAATCTGGCGATTTTCCTCTGAGCTCTGGCATCAGCGATTCTTTTTTGCCTAGAGAACCACTGCTTATTGGAGATTTTCTCTTTTTCTGACCATCTCCAGAGATAATTGTGTGAGAAAATCCCAGTGAAATCAGCTTTGTCTGGCAATAAGAACTATACCACATTCAAATCCACTTAATTCAACTTTATTCTATACTGTACTGCTCGGTTTGAACTTCAGCATTGACCGTGTCTACGTACCTAAATGCATTAAGTGGCTGCCATGTCATTGACTGACTACACATTTGGATTAAGGAGCAGTTTAGCAGGTGTACCTAATAACGTAACTGGTGAGTGTAATCCTATAATGTAAAGTTTACATGTGCAGCAAAGATGTGCAGATACTTTAACAGTGCATCTGAACTTGGACCTTATTTAAAGAATAAATAACTGTTTCTTTTCCTTTAGCCACGAAGGACAATG